ATATTATTTTTATGTGTACCGTCAAATCTGATCTGACTGGTACAGGAGGAGATTGCACCCTCCTTCTCCAGCAGAGCATCTGGTGGATTTGAACCGTGTACCTCTGGGATTTCAGTGCAGCGTCTTGCCACTAGGCCACCAGAGCGCCCTCAAACATGACTTTTGAGACTGAAAGTGTTCTCCTGGTGAATGGGAACCAGAAAAGGTCACTCTTTATCAATACTCTTATTCACTATTGTATTGGAAATCTTAGAGAAATAAGGCAAGAAAAAGAAATAATAAGCATTTGAATTGGCAAAGAGAAAGTAAAACTTTGTTTGCAAATTATATGACCTTGAATATAGAAAAATCCAAAAGACTCACTAATTAATGAATCTCCCCATTACATCTGATGAAGTGGTAAGGTATAAAATCAACATAAAAAAATTGGAGTCCTCTACAGTCACAAGGACAACACTAAAAGGAAATATGGAAAACAATGCTACTTACAGTAGCCTCTCAAAAGATGAATTATTGTTGTTAGGTGGTTTGAAGTCGAGAATGACTCCTAGCTGTCCTATAAACAACAGACCAGAATCTCATCCTATCCTGTGCCATCTCCATCATCTCTGACACACTTGAGCCCATTGCTCTAATCACCGTGTCAGTCCATCTTGATGGGGGTCTTCCTCTCTTTCACTGACCTATCACCCTTTCAAGCCTGAGATCCCTTTTCCAAGGATTCTAGTAACATGTCCGAAGTATGAGACAAAGCTTTATATTACAGCTGCACTTTTCCCAAGATATACCTGTTCATTCTTTTGGCAGCCTATGGGATATTCCGTATTCTTCCCCAACAACACAATTCAAAAACATCAGTTCATCAGTCAACTCTTTCTCATTGTTCGGCTTTCAGATACATAGCAAGTAAAAAAAAAAAAAGAAAGAAAGAAAAACTTAAAATTTAGTAGTGATAATAAAAAGCCTATCCAAACTAAACACCACTACAGGAAGCCAAATGAGACCTACCTACATAAATGGAAGACTGCACCATGCTGCTGGGCAGGAAGCCTTAAAATTGTGAAAGTATCAGTACTACCAAAAGTGACAGCTCTGAATGATGCCGTCCCAATCGAGAGCCCAGCATCATTCTTCTAAGAAATAGTAAAAGTAATCTCCAACTTCATATGGAAAAGAAAGAGACCCTGGATAAGAAAAGCACTACTGAAGTTGAAAACAAAGTGTAGGAGTCCTTAAACAATCACAGAACCTACTATATAGTCATGGAAGTATACAGTCTGGTACAATGACAGACAGATCAATGGAACAGGACTGAGAACCCAGATGCGAATCCATCCACCTGTGGAAAACAGATCTTGGACAAAGAGTTAGAATTCATTCATCCAGCAGCTCAGCCAGAAAAGGACAAAGCAGCTCAATTACAAAATTGGCATAGGACATGGAGAGATACTTCACCAAAGAAGACATTCAAAATCCATGAAGAAATGCTCAAGATAATCAGCTATTACATCACATAAAAAAACTCTGAGATACCCTCTCACTCCAGCAGCAGTAGCAAAGTTCAGTAAGCAAACAGCGAATGCAAGTGAGGGTGTGGAAAGAGTGGAACCCTCCTGCACTGCTGGGAAGAATGTAAAATGGTGCAACTACAAGGGAAAGCAGTTTGGTGCTTTCTCAGTGCTAGGAAACTAGCCTAAGAAACAAGAGCTTCCATGTCAACAGATGTGTGCACGCCCATGTTTATTATTGTTGCTTACAGTAGCAAAGAGATGGAAACAACTTAAGTGTCCTTCAGTGGGCAAATGAATTTTTTAAAAATATATCTGTGATACATTCACACAATGAAGTTCTGGGCAGCAGAAAAGAATATAAGTCCGTTTGTGAAACACTACATGACATGGAGGAATTTAGGAAAATGATGCAGAGTGAAAATAAATGAGTCACAAAAACACAAATATTAGAAAATGCTGAAGAAAGGTTTACACAGTGACTCATGGATGGTAGATTACTAGAGATGAGAAAGGAGTATATAGATAATAGACACCATCAAGATGGTTCAAGGGAAAGGCAATATACAGTAAATTATCAACACAGTATAACTAACGAAAGAAATGGTGCATGTAGAAGGATGAATGGAAATCAGTTACAGGGGAAAAGTGGGAAAGTATGGTTACATTGCAGGTATTAGAACAAATTTTCGTAAGCACGATGTATATGAATGAATGAAAAAAGGATTAGATTTGCTTTGTAAAATCTCATTTAACACAATTTAAAAACAGAAAAAACAAAGATGCCTGATGGATTCTGTGTTTCATTGAGAATTTCTTTTCCTCTGTCTGTTGTATCATTGCCCATGAAGACAACTAGTTGGCAGGCAGAGCTTTAACGTGAAATCCTCAGGAACCCGATGGAGGGTCACTAGGAAACCAGATCACCTTGATGCCAGTGGGTTCGGTTTTGATAATGCAGTGGGAGACATATGTGTGTAGCCAATAATAGAAACAAACAAAAGTTAGATTGTTATAATTTGTATTGCTTTACTCTTAGGTGAGGACAACTGGATTTTTTTTCCCTCTTAACTATTTACATATAGAAGAGTCCTTGGTGGTCCCAGCTACCTTTTAGGAAATTTCTATTGCACAATAGAGTACTGAGCACATACTAGACAGTCCAGAGGGTAGGAGGTTGTGGATACAGCTGACAGGCCAGCTTCTAGATTTAGCTTTTTCAGGGATAGCTTGAGGTTGGGATTTTGTTTTATAAATGAAGAAGACTCAAGCACATTTGGTTCAAATTAAGTAATGGTTAAATTTTTTTTTAATCCATTTTTAGAAAGCTGTTTTATGTGTACATTTCTTTTTAGGTAACGATGTTGGAAGGAGCTCATATGGGGCCATGCAAGTGAAACAGGCCTTTGATTATGCCTATGTTGTTTTGAGTCATGCTGTATCACCAATAGCAAAGTACTATCCCAACAATGAAACAGAAAGGTAAAGTTTAACTAAAATCAGCCCATTCTCTCAAGATTTGTTGTGGTTTCTGACCTTCAAATTAATGTACACCTCCCTCTCTTTTCTTTTAAATACATGCAGCATATTAGGTAGAATAATTAGAGTAACCGATGAAGTCGCCACATACAGAGATTGGATCTCAAAGCAGTGGGGCTTGCAGAATAGGCCCGAGCCTTCATGCAATGGTAAGATTTTGATTTCTTGATTAACCAAGTATTAGTGGCTTTCTCTGTTGTATTTAATGGGAAGAAACGTTTTCTAATCTTCTGCCACTTTTTCAGGAAATGGTGTTACCTTGATAGTAGATACTCAGCAGTTAGATAAATGTAATAATAATCTGTCAGAAGAAAATGAAGCCCTTGGGAAATGTAGAAGCCAGACTTCGGAATCTCTTAGTAAACACTCTTCAAACTCTTCATCAGGGCCAGTGTCTTCCTCCTCTGCCACACAGTCCAGCTCTAGTGACGTAGTAAGTATTTTAAAACACGGCTTTGCCAAACCTAAAGGTCCAGGGGTTCTGTGAAATGTCTAGAGGTTTAAGGCTAAGTGTTTTTCTTTTTCATTACTGGGCAATTTTAATTATGGGGTTTTTTTTAGGCTTGTTTTTTTGGTTTTTTTTAGTTTTAAAAAAAAATTACAGGTATAGCTTCTTATTGAGTAAAAGGGGCAATGGCGTAGAACAAAGAGGACATTGGGTTTACAGTTATGCAGCCTACAGTCTCATCCCCAGTGCTATTACTTGATGTCTATGTACTATTAAACATACTGTCCAGACCCATTAAAAAAAGGTTTTGATTGTCATTTTTTTCAATGTTGTATTAAAAATTTCAAACATACTGCAACAGCAGAAGAATTTTTAGCAAATATCCATATACCCGCCACTCAGTTCCCCCATTAACATTTCACTTGCTTTTCATGTGTTTACCCATCTGTCCATCCCTTTATCCATTAATTAATTTTATTCTTTGATAACATTTTAAAGTCAATTTAAATTCACAGTCAATTAAAATCACATCAGTTAACCACATCAATACACAACAACCTCCAGAGAACTGCACCTTGTGTGTCAGTAGCTCAGTTAATTGTTTAGAATGTTTTTACTTTTGATGTAAAAATGACATGTAAAGAAATAGACAGATCTTTACATTTACTGTATCTCTCCAGGTGTTTATACTTGTGAACTCCAAAGCCTTAGAAAGTACTATCCCACTCCTGATCCTTCCTAATCCAGCCACCATCCCCCCTCAGAGACTTACTTCACTGCACTTCTTTCCTAGTGCTTTTACAGCTGTTGTCTGTTCTACAGTTGCATCGAAATGGAATCATATAGTTGTTTTTTGTATGGAAGCCTTCTTATAATCAGAATAATGAACTTCCTGATTAAATTTTTAAAATAAGATACAATTCACATATATAAAATTCACTATTTGAAAGTGTACAATGTAGTGGTATTTCATATGTTCACGGTGTTGTGTAACCACCACCCTGAAATTCTAGAACATGTATTCTGATCTGTAATTAGAGACTTTTCAGACATTCTTCTGTGTTTGATGGAAGACTTTAAGCCTGAGATTGGGCCCAAGTTCCCCATTCTTTACCCTATTCTATCCATTTTACCTTGGTTCTGTTTTGGGGAATTAAATTGCAAATTAACTTGGATCTCTGTGAGCTAACTCCTTTAAGATTGATTAGCAAGCTCAGGCATGAATAGTAGATTAGCCAGTGAACAAACACCCTCTGACAGACTATGTTATTTAAATGTTTAGAAGCAGATTTTTCTTATTTTTATGAGTATCTGGTGGGATTTTTTTTCCTTTAAATGTTTGTGTTTAATCCAAATAATGCTTGTTGTTGTTGTGTACCGTCGATTTGGAACTGACTCATAGCTGACCCTCTGGCGGGTTTTCAGAGGCACTTAATCGTATGGAAGGAGACTGCCCGTCCTTCTTCCACGGAGCATCTGGTGGCCTCGAACTGCATGCCTTCGGGATTGCAGCTCAGCTTCTTGCAACTGGGTGACCAGAGCTCCCCAAATAATGCTTAGCTGAAATTGTTGCCCATTCTTGATAATTGACTATATTAAGTATTAATACATTATTTTATAACTTATATAACTTGCGTTAGGATTCTGATGCAACACCGTGCAAAACCTCAAAACAGCTGCTGTGCCGTCCATGCCCTGGAAGCCGAGTGGGGTCGCAGGACGTGGCTCTGGAGTCCTCTCAGGCAGCTGGGAAAACGCAGGGCCCCCAAGCCACTAACATATCCAGCAGCACCAACAAATCTCAGGTGTGTTGACATTTAATAGAAAGAATTTGCAATCTCGCATGTGTGAATAACATGCATGATGGGTTTGAAGAAAAGTCTAGGTTGAAGATTAAATCTCTTAGCGGTTCCAAAGGAAAACAGTGCTTCTAGAAGTCCTGAGGATCTGAGTAATAGTTGCCTTGAGGATCTTTATAAGAGTCTGTTGTATTCTGTAGAAGCTCTGGTGGCCTCATGTGTAAGAAATTAGGCTGCTGACCCAAAAGCACATAGTTCAGATCCACCAGCTTCTTCAGGGCAGAAAGATGGCCCGTCTCCTCCCATGAGATTTACTGCCTCTGGAGGGTCACCTCTGGATTAGTTCCAACTTGACAACACATAACAACAGAGTTGTACCCTAAGCTTTAGTGTGGGACTCTAGAGACTGATTTTTATGTGATGCCCCAGCCAACTGCCCTTGTTAGACATGTATATGAACTTTGTAAGTGAACCAGTAGAAAATTAAAAAAAAAAAAAAAAAAAACAACAAAACCCAACCACAATTAAGTAAAAGGAAAAAACACATCAAGCTATAGAAAGACTCGAGTTACACTTGAAATAAACACATTGGAAGTGTTTTCATGACATCGTGGCCTTGTGCGCATTTTTCTATTTTACTATTCCTAGTTTATGGGTTTTGGTGAGCTGTTTATGCTGTACCTAGTTAATATGGATCAGGCCGCTTGTCAGTGGTGAGACTTGATTAGCATTATCTTTGATTTGCAAAGGCTAATAAGACCCTGTATTTTGGGACCTTTTAGTTGACAAGTTTGTTATGTACCAAAAAGTGATGAATGGGAAAACAAAGCCATTTGGTGCATGGCTTTTGCCCAAGGCCGTCTTTAAGTGCAGTGGGCACGCTGGGCAAAGGCTTCTTTCCTGGATGTAGAGGTGCATCCTTCATGTTGGACTTGACTTGCCAAGTTCACTTTACATTTACAGCCGCCATAGTCCTGTATGACAACCCAGACTAATTTATAAACAGCGGAGTGTCAGAGGTTGGGAGAAGCTCCAGGAGCAGCCAGCTTTCGCAGCCATGAACTGACAGTGCACTTGCTGCTCCCGTAGCTCCTTCCAGAAGGGCTCTTGGTTGAGTAATAAAAAGGGTCTACATGTTACTTTAAAAATGTACATATTGTACTCTATTGATGGCAAGATAGCGGCCTGTGTTTTTCAAGATTCCCATGGGGGGAAAAATAGACCAAAAGTGTTAGAACTCAAGAGCATCACCCTGGAAGTTGTATTTATGTGTGCCATCTTTATCTGCCAACTAGTAAATCAGTGGTTGGGACAGGAACTTATTAACCAGCATATTCCTAGATTTGAAAGCTCACCCTGCATTCTTTGGTGTGCCGTACTAATGTCTTTTTGACCACTTTTCTTTTTTGCAGCATGGATCAGCAAGGCTGTTTCGTTCTTCCAGCAAAGGCTTCCAAGGTACAACTCAAACAAGCCATGGTTCCTTGATGACAAACAAACAGCATCAAGGCAAATCCAATAATCAGTATTATCATGGCAAAAAGAGGAAACACAAGCGGGATGCCCCTCTTTCAGATCTCTGTAGATAGTCGGCATTGTACGATGGACTGTCTTCTGTGTGCAATGATCTCATGCTCAGGACAGTTGGATAGGGACTCCTGGGAGACGTGCAGGAGCCTTACACTGTTCAGATGTTGATTTAGCAACTGCGTTGTTTCCCAGCTCGCCACGGAATGGATCATGAAGACTGACAATTACAAAAGCAAAAAACAAGCAGAAAAGGGGTTGGGGGTGGGTGGGAAGGCTGCTCATTTGATAAGTCATTACTACAACAGGGTCGTTTTAAGACTTAAAGCTTGAACATTAAATATATTTCTCATTGGCTTTATGCAGAGTTATAGGTACATATAGTATTCAGTGTGGATAGGATGATAGAAACAGAAACGTTTCAGACGATGGGGTGGGAATGACAGTTAACTTACAGGAAGTCCAGAGTCCAAGGGAAAGTGATCTGTGCATGGGTTTGGTTTGGGAATTTTTTTTTACACATATATTTGCCATTTTAGTGTGTGTATGAGGCTGTGTGTGTGTGTGTGTGTGTGTGTGTATGAAATTGATATTTGTAATAGTGGATTTGTTAATACTTTTTACATAACATTACTGTTTAAACTGTAAACAGATTTTTCTCAGGATTAGTTTGAAAAATAATCTGAATTGTCATCTTAACATCATATATAAGGAAATGATTAATTGATTAATGCTAAGACTCAATTTGCTCTCCTCAGCATTGGAATGACTTAATAGAACCCTTGTGAACTGCTGCACAATTTTTTTCCTCTCTAAAGAAAAGGTTTATGGTGGCAAATGATGCTTATTCTATTTTGTAAAAAAAAAAGAAAAATATGTACTATGTACTTTGTGCAAACACTGAAGAAACCTCTAGTCATCTCTTAGAATTAAATTGCACCTATTTTCTATAGTGCTGTTGTCTTGAGCAGAGGGCACTTACATGGCTTCGTGTTTGTTTCTTTTGCAGTGTTTTTAAGTTTTTGTAATTTTTTTTACCCTTCTTCCTAGTAGGAGAACAGAATCAAAAACCATTGAGTCTTGTCCCATTCCTGTTGCAGTGAAACCTCAATTTTCCAAGACATAGGCATGCTGGTTCCTCTGATCCTGTGTGCTGTGTGTGCGCTTGTTTGCCTCATCTTTTATTTTTTTAACTTCTTGCTTAACTACTGTGGGAGAGATTAACTGTATACAGCTTTAATTAAATCATACTTATAAAAACTATTTTCTTATACTCCACTTTTATGTTTTTGGTATTGTTTCTCTTTACCAATTAAATGGTCTTTGATAACGGAGATCCATTTTGTATTGCCTTATTAAGACCAAATACTTCTTGTCATCCCATTCTTTACCCTCTCCCTTCGTGGAATTGTTATCTCAAATTAAAACTTTTTTAAACATTGGCTTGATTCAACTATACTGTAAATTTTGATTGTGGCCAGCTTTGAGTGCAACTGAAATGTATCATTCTGTCATTGATCACGTGTTGAGTTTGAAACTCAGTTGGGAATATTTGTTGTAATAGAATGTGACATTTCTGAAAATGCTTTCTTTTTGAAAGTGAAAGCTTTTATGTCTAGCATCAATGTGTGTGACTGTTAAATACAGCCATTTCCGAGATGAAATTAACATACACACACACACACATTTATTTTATTGTTGGCTTTTAGAAACTTCTTTTGTATACATTTATTAAATAATATGACCAATCAAACCATTAATGGACATATAATGCAATTTTTTTATAAAGAAAATAATGCTAAAGTAAGACCAAAACTGATGTCATCACTGATATTAACATTTTTAATATGTTCATATTTTAATTTATGAAGTGTGTTCCAAAACTGGAAGTTCACTACTATGTAAACTGTGGAAGATTTTAAATGCAATGTTATTTTGACAATGTTTTAAGTTTTAGAGTCACATTTTATTCTGATCAGAATTTTTATCAAGATGTTGAGCTTTTGTTCTTGAAACTAGTTTGTCACTACATATTGTGCATAATCACAGTATTTATTTTTTAGGACTATTGTGAATATGTAGACTTATGTTTACTGCTAAGGGAACAATTATTTATAAAAAATAATATCAAATCCAGTGTTAGCTGCCTACTTCAGACATTTAATACTTGCAGAGATCCATGTTACATTGACCACACTGAATTTTTTTAAGAATCACCTTCATTGTTGAAAGTAAATGTACTTTTAGGGTGCAGATATTAGTGTTCTAATAAGCATGTGATTATATTAAGATGGTGGTAGCGGGAAGATAATCTTGATTCCATTGGGAATCTTAGGTTTTCGTAAATTTATTGGAAAAATAGCTTTTCCTGTACTACTGAAGTTTCTTTTTGGTAAACAGTATCTTTCTAAAAGAAAAAGCATGAAGGAAAAATTGAGGTGTGTATTTTCCTCAAATGACCAGCGTTGTATTCGTGAATACTGTGTATCTTGCTGTGAACAGTGTGGAAGCTGTTCATTTTCAATCTGAAGTAAAATACTTTCAAGAACTTTTAGTTTGCCTGCTCATTTGTTTTGTACATTTCATCTCTGTATTTAACTTTTGTCTTATTTCTTTGAGTTTCAGGGCATTTTTCTGAAGCTCTTGTGAGTGTATTAAAAAACTGTGTCATTTAACTATTGCAGCCTTCCACACTCATGAATCATAAACTTCCTTTGCCAGTCCTTGTAGAACAAGATTTGACAAATTCTCCCTCACGCTGATAGCATGTCTTTGGCAGTCATGTATGTGTACCTGGGCAGAATCAAAGTAGTTTAAAACTTAGTATTTTAACAATTGGTTTTTAGAAGAGTTTATGGATCAAAAAGATCCAGCACAAAACCGGAACAGCCATCTTTTGAGGATAACGGTAAATAAATGCACTTCCCCTCCCTCTAGCTTAAGGTGCCATGAAGGGCCCTGGGTTTTAGTGTCATCATTCCGTTTAGAGATGTTGCATTTGGTTTTTCAATCTGGTGCTGATATACAGGATTTGTTTTCATTTGTTAGCCCTCCCTTCCGTCTGTTGGACAGTTGGTCCTCCTTTCTTAAGTGCACTTTACCTCTGCTTGCATTTTGAGCCTGCCTTTAATAACTCGATTATTTGCATTGGCTCCAGATACTCCTGCATAAAGTCTTCACAGAGTGAAATAAAGGCAGTAGGGAGAACTTTCCTTGTCTTTCCCTGTGGAGTCTTCTACCTCGTGTTTTCTCCTTTTTCTCTCCCCCATGTAAATGGTAGGTCTGACTGCTGTTTGCCTTCACCTGTGGATTAGTGTTTGGGGTTTATAGATGTTCAGGAGGCTCAGAAGAGTGCAGCTCTTGAGAACTGCAGGACCCTTTTGCTATGACACATATTTATTGTAAAGACCTCCCCAATAATTTGAATGTAGTTGTTGAATTTGCTTTTTTTGAAATCACTGTTACCAGATATTATTTCTACAATTTGAAACTGTTCAGTTCCTCCAATTATAACATGCTGTTTCTTTCTTTTTTGTGTATTTTCAGTCACTATGAATGTAAAAAGTTCCTAATTTTGCTGTGATAACAATTATGTATTAAAATTAATGATCAAACAATTTATTCAGTTCTAGCTTTTAAAAAATGTTTGAATTCATGAAAAGCAACATCTCAAAGTATTTTGTGAGCAAAGTGTTCTGTAATTGGCTCAATTAAATTTGACCTAGTAAAATTGATATTTAATAATTACTCTTCTCAGTGGACATAATGGATCTGGTGAACTATTCAGAACATGATGCAGCATTCACGTGAGAACAGAAATTTGCTCTAGTTGTTTGGAGGTGTTATGTTTACCTTGCCTCAACTTCTAAACTGTAAGACGTTAGCCTGCCATTTGTCAAAACATGTATAGAGGAACTAAATGTTAGAGAAAAATTGTAACATGCTAATTATTTATCAGAAAGATTCTTTATAAAGTGCTGATTTATTTATTTGCTATTCAGAATTAAGTACTTATTTAAGGACAGTTTTTTAGTTAATAAACAGATAATATTTTATTGTATGACAAGGTTTTTTGGGTTTTGTTTTGTTTTTAAAGTCTGTGCTTTTTATGTTTTCTACCTAAGTGTGTGGTCTATTAAGTCTAACCTAGTTTATGGTCTAAAAGCCTGAAGCAGATGGACCAGGAGATGCAGCGATCACATCTCCTTGGGGTATTAGCTCGAGGTATCACTTGAATCTACTGAGAAACATGTTTTTAGCCATATAAATAAGTAATAGATGATAGTGTGGGAATTGGGAACCCTCTTAATCTTAATATTCATATTTCACTGAATTAGTGTTTGCATATCACCTTTAGTTTTACACTTTTAACTCGAATTTTTCTACTTCTATAGCCTAGATCCTTTTTCTAGCACCAGCTTTCTTGTAACCTGACTGATAACAGGGAGGTCTTCCACTGACAACACAGTGTCTGAATGATTGATCTTAAAGACAACACCAAAGCAAAATACAACACAAGTGCAAGGATGAAGGAAAAATGCTGGTCATTAGCGTATTGGCAGGTCAGGGAAAGACCAAGAGACAATGTTAAAAGCTAGTGACTTTCAGTGCTGACCTTTCATGGGTTAGCCCGCCTCCACACTCAGACAGCAGCCGTGCTATTTTATGTCCTGTGATCCTCTATAAACCAAGGACTTGTTGGCAAGTACAGCCTTCACATTTGTCTTTACTGCTGGGAAACACTGTCATCATACTGTTGAAGGTAAACGAGATGAGGTGGTGATGAGTGTAGTTTCTTTCTGGATATAAACTATGAAAGACCTGATAGAAATAGGTTTTGGGGGAATATATTATAGGAAGTTTGATGAAACCAGCATTTGTTTTTAATAATGTTTTCCATTTATTTCCCTCTGATTAGCATTGCCTACTGTATTAAGAAATGCGGACTCCTGTGGGGTTCTGAAGGTTTGAATGCTCCTGAAAGCTTTCCAGTCTTGTCTAGTTACTGCTTCAGAGGCACTAAAGAATTTACCAGAGAAAGAAATCTGATACCATTTATGCAATCTCCACCGTTCCTGAGGGTCCTCTAAGTGGGCATCCGTTAAGGATATTCTGAGTGAATTGCACACCTGGGAGCTTTTTAAAGCTAACAACGGTTTCTTCAAAGATGTCAATTGTTTGCCTTGAAAATTTTATAAAGTGCATTTTTTTAATACACATCTTCTTCCCCCGAATATTTACTACTG